GTTGGGAAACTACTTCTTTTTGGTTCCAGGGTTTTAGGACTTGAAGAATAGGTTTTGCATATCCCAAGAATATTCATTCATATCATCAAGAAAATCAAGAAAATCAAGAATATATAATAGAATGATGTCGAATGACAAGAATGCTTTGAACATGATGATCATGTGCTGATGTTGATGCTCATGCTTGCTGTGCTGCAATCAACCAAATCAAGCACTCAATCAAGTACTCGGTCAGCTGATTTTATCGCTGACCCCGCCACCGAAGTCTGGTTTCAATCAGCCACTTCTGTGCCGTGCGCAGCGGCATGGCCAGCTGGTGCGGCGTGCGCGAAATAACAGAGGCCCTGCCAACATAATCCTCGGCCATAGCGGTTGAGAATGCCATCGGATTCAAGATACGTTGGTTTGCCAGCTGCCCCTTCATCTCCAAACGGATGTGATCCAAATAATGCAGCTTAGGAGTGAGATTGAAAAATACAAGTCCCTCCTGGTTGGCATCACTTGCGAGCCGAACATAGTGGATCAGAAACTCGTCCAGGGATTTGACCGCACCTCGTGCCTCAGTTTGAGTCATAAAGACTCGGTCGGCCTTAGCACATCTCCGCAGAAAATCATCGAGGCCTTAGTTGCTTTCAACATGGACAACATGGATTTGAGTGTACATGCCTGAGCAATACCACAAGCAATGAACAATCAACTGACAACATGAGCAAGACACCATGTGCACAAGCAAGCATGTTGTTGATGTAGTTGTTTGCTTGAAAAGGCCGCCCCAGATAGTCCACAAGCCACGACAGTATCAAATACGTGTCCGACGCTTTAAAGGTAACTTGAGGCATATCTCGCGGGCCCTTCCAGCCGAGATTTTCACGAGACCAGTGCTTAACATGGGGCGTGGTGTTCATGATGTGTTTGACAAAGTGCTTGAAGTCTGCATAAGCTTCATTGATGCGCACAGGAATGCTTCGCCCGATATCAGGGTTTGACGGAATGAAATGACCCAGGTATATCAAGAAGCAAATGGCGGAACACAAGAACGTGCGACCAATTCCCAAATTGACGATATGAAAAAGGTCTTTCGCCAGGAAGGTCGCCTCGCCGTTCGTAGTCAAATCAGCCAATGGCGGCTTGTTGGTCCATGGGACGTCCTGACCCACCGTGGCCTTCCAGGAGGCTCCAGCACGAACATCAGTAAATGGGATCGTATCCCCGTCAGCCCCGCACCATGGACACATGGGGTGCGGGACCGACAAAAAAGTCCGCTTGCAATGATACATCTTTGCCTGAGCAGGGAGGTCACCTTCAAGACAAACAAAGCATAAGAAGAAAGTACCGTGGTTGGTGGCTATTCCAGTCTCCATGGCCGATCTTGCTGCCGTTGTAAACTCCGCCATAAGTGTGTCCAGCACTTTGTTGCCGCATTCAAAGCCCACATTGAAATGCCGGTAAGATTCGTGACCCATAGCAGTCCAAAAAAAATATCGGAGCCAGCTTGCAGCACCAGCTGCGAGGACGGGTCCCCAGGAGATCTGCATAACTGCGCTCTTCCGAACCCCAGTGCCCTCATCT